AGAACACTATGAGAAACTGTATCAAAGGCTGTACTGAGGTCAAGGAAAACTACATCCACAGCCCTTTCCTCGTCAACCAGGCAGGTCACCCCATCATAGAAGGTGATCAGGTTTGATTGGCAAGACCTGCCTTTCATAAACCCATGTTGACTGGGCCTGATCACCCAGTTAACCTGTATGTGTAGCACTCAAGATAACCTGTTCCATGACTTTGCCCGTCACCGAGGTCAAACTGACAGGCCTGTAGTTCCCTGGATCCTCCTTCCGCCCTTTTTTGTAAATGGGGGTAACATCCGCCAGCCTCCAGTCCAGCGGAACTTCCCCAGTGAGCCAAGACTGCCCAAAGATAATGGACAGGGGTTTGGCAATGACATCCGCCAGCTCTCTCAGGACCCTCGGGTGAATACCATCAGGCCCCATAGACTTGTGGGCATCCAGCCGAAGGAGCAGATCCTTGACCCGTTCCTCTAACACAGAGCTTACAATCTAAATTTTAGCAAATAAGAAAGTCACCAAAGGCAACGAAATATCAGGAAGTGAGGAGGAAAAGTGACAAGAGATAGATACTACAGTGGAATAAATTCTCCTGGAAGCTATGTCAAGGCATATGGATATCCACAAGGAGGCGACTACAGACAGTCAACATGGCTTCATAAAAGACAAATCATGCTGGACTAATCTAGTAGCCTTTTACAATGGAGTGACTGCATAGGTGGATAAGGGAAGAGCAACTGATGTCATCTACCTGGAGTTCTCTAAGGCCTTTGAGACAGTCTCACACAACATTCTTGTCTCTAAATTGAAAAGATACAGGTTTCATAGATGGACTATTTGATGCTTAAGAAATTGGCTGGATGGCTGCATACACAGAATTGCAGTCAAAAACTCAAATGTTCAAATGGAGATCAGGAACAGTGGTGTCCCTCAGGGGTCAATACTGGAACCGGTATCGTTCGGTATCTTTGTTACTGGCACAGAGAGCAGGATTGAGTACACCCCTCAGCAAGTCTGTGGATGACACCAAGCTGGGTGGTGCAGTTGATACACTATAGCAAAGGGGACCTTGACAAGCTTGAGGAGTGGGTCCATGTGAGCCTCATGAATTCAACAAGCCCAAGTGCAAGGTCCTGCACCTGGCTCAAGACAATCCTCAGTATCAATACAGGCTGGAGGATGAAGGGATTGAGAGCAGTTTTGGTGAGAAGGACTTAGGGACACTGGTGGATGAAAAAATTGGACATGAGCCAGCAACGTGTACTCGCAGCCCAGAAAGCCAACTGTATCCTGGGCTGCATAAAAAGAAGCGTGGCCAGCAGGTCGAGGGAGTAGATTCTACCCTTCTACTCTCCTCTCATGAGACCTCACCTGGAGCACTGCGTTCAGCTCAAGGGTCCCCATTACAAGACAGACATGGAGCTGTTAGAGCAGGTCCAGAGAAGGGCCATGAAAAGGGTCAGAGGGCTGGGTCACCTCTCCTATAAGAAAAGGCTGAGAGAGTTGGGGTTGCTGAGCCTGGAGAAGAGAAGGCTCCAGGGAGACCTTATTGCAGCCTTTCAATATACGAAGGGAGCTTACAAGAAAGACTTTTTACCAGGGCCTGTACTGACAAGCACGAGAGGCAACAGTTTTAAACTGAAAGAGAGTAGGTTTAGATTAAACATAAGGAAGAAATATTAATTTTTTTATTCCCCCCCAATGAGAGTGGTAGGACACTGGAAGAGTTGCCCAGAGAAGTTGCAGATGCCCCATCACTGGAGGCACTCAATGAGTCAGGTTGGATGTGGCTTTGAGCAACCTGATCTAGTTGAAATATGTCCCTGCCCACAGCAGGGGGGTTCGAACTGGATGACCTTTAGAGGCTCTTTCCAACCCAAACTATTCTATGATTCTACAGTAAGATGTGATACTATCTTGTTTATATATGCTGATGACTATAATGTTCTTCTAATTTACATCTCATCTCTCAAAATTCCCTTTCAAAAATTGAGGAGAGGTAAGCATTAGACCCAAAGACAGGAAAAAAGGTGACAACACATCTGTTATCAGCATCGACAGTTAAGACTGATACAGCTGGAAAATAAGAATTGAAAGTGAGAGTGATGACATAGAGAGTGATGACAAGAGAGTCAAAACAATCAAGGTAAATTCTGATAGAAAAGAACTGCAAGATTAACGTTTGAAATAAACAAAAAATTGCCACAGGAAGGAAACGACTGAAGAAATGAACAGATTTTGATCACTGAGATCAGAAGAAAACGGAGCATGTAAACACTGTATTGGCAAGGCTAGTCTGGCATGACATCATCCAGCCAGAGTATTCTTTCCCGAACAGAGACAGATCTTATTTCTCATTACAGTAAATGGCTATTTTCCTCTTTACTAATTTTGTTCTTAATTGTAAAAATCTTTAAAACTTATTTTGACAGAAGACTAACATTTCTTCTAGGTTTTGGAATAGGAAGACTGAAAAGCATCTGTCCTCACTTTAGGTGTAAAGATCTTCAGTTATTACCACTGAATTTCTGCTGCATTTTTGGTAGATTTCATCTGCTTAAGTAGTTTAAAGTTTTGTTCCATTTCTCTTTTTTTTCATAGCATTTGGGAACTGAGTAAGGGCTCCTTTCCATAGGAACACAGCAGCTTAAAATCCACATAAATATTGTTAAAACAATAGACAAGCCTAATACAAACTATCTTACTCTGATACATGAATGAGTTTTCTAGCCTAACTTAAGAACTGAAAGATTCTCTATCTGAAAATAAACAATATCCACACAGGAGCTATATTTTGTATTTTCTAATAATTTTCTAATAATTTCAAATCTTCTGACATTTAAAACAGGTTGCAGCTTTTAAAGATTTAGCCAGTCACAGGAATTAAGATCTAGAATGGAACATCATTATTACTGAAGATAGCTTCTGAAATGGATTCCTTCCAGAGATTTCTTGACTTTTGTAAAGTCAGGAGAACACCAGCAGTTACACAAGTAACACCAGCCTGAGTGCCTCCATGAATGCCTTACTCTTGAGCTGGGAATCAATTTCTGTAGAATTTGCTAAGTCTACAAGACAGGAACACAGAGGATCTCTATATCTCTATATACAATTCAAAGTTACTTCCTTTCTGCTGCTTTGGGCTCACAGGCAGAAATTAGAGATGAAAATTACAGAATCATAGAATGGTTAGGGTTGAAAGGGACCTCAAAGATCATCTGGTTCCAACCCCCCTGCCATGGGCAGGGAAACCCTCCACTACATCAGGTTTCCCAAAGCCTCATCCAACTTGGCCTTGAACACTTCCCGGGATGGGGCATCCACAACTTCTCTGGGCAACCTGTTCCAGTGCCTCACCACCCTCAGAGTGAAAAATTTCTTCCTTATATCTAATCTAAATCTCCCCTCTTTCAGTTTAAAGCCATTACCCCTTGTCCTATCACTACACACGCTTGTAAAAAGTCCCTCTCCAACATCTGCTAAGAAATCTCTCCCTATCATTTAAAGAATGCCAAGTATCTTTGTAGACTTCTGTGTTCCAAATATATTCTACCCAAGCATCAAGAAACCAAGGTTATTGTTGTCACCACAGTCCAACCTACTTTATATCAACTTCCAATAATGTCATAATGCACCTGGGGTATTACTTTAAATCAATACTGAATTCCTTGGTTTATCAATGTCCTAACATTTCACCACTTTAAGTCAGCGTTCCTCCACTGTGCAGCCCAGTACTATAGATCTAATTCTCATCCAAAAATCACTTTCCAGGATTATGTAGTGTGAAAATAAGTTCAGCTTGCCAAGGCTGAACGTTTTGCATAAAATCAGATTAGCAGAAATATACACAACATACAAAACAACAAATATACATTTGCTGATAACCCACAAGTCCCACCTAATTTCCTTACATTTATGGCTAGTGCACACAGCTGGTACTGTTCCAAGGTGATGATTTCATGGTAACAAGGTTCTTGTGCCAACTTCACAATAGCATTCCCTGCAGCCAGCCTCAACCGAGACATATCAGGTTTACTGAAAAACAAGCACATGGATTATGAAAGTTAATTAGTAAAACATTATGTAATTATTTGACTTAATTAAAATCCCAATAAGTTTGCATTGCTGAAAAACAGGTACTTTAAAAAGAAGGAAAAGTTTCCATGGACCTTGCTGCCCCCACCCTCCTAAATCAACAGCAGAAATAACTTCAAACCAAAAGTAGTTTCCATGACACCGCATTTTACAGTCTATTACCACATACCTATCATCTCGCCCCAACTTCAAAATGAAAATATTCCTTGGAACTTCCTAAAAGTTCCATGTGGGCGTGAAACAGTTTTACCCATGCACTGGACCAGCACAGTCCAAACTGCCCCTCAAAGACCTCATTTAGCCTGTAAGATGCTTTTGTTTAGTGTGCTGGTTTTCCTTCAGCAGGGTGGCTCCTGCCAAAGGAAGGACTCATTTCTAGTCCTCAAAGTTGCCAAACTTTTTCTAGCAATGATAGCTCAAAATCCATGCTGCAAGCCAACATAAGTTGAGATTAATTAGCTATTATGATAGGTGACTAAGGGAATTGTATTTTCAAGACAACAGCAAAAAGGATTTAGCAAATGAAAAAAATTTCAACATGCTGAAAGTATTGCTACTTGACTTGCACACCCAAATTGCACTCCCACCTAGTAAAACGCTCCAACCATTTGCTAATTTTCCTATCAAAAGATGAATGAGTTTTTCTGTAACCTGCAACCATATTTACAAAGGTTACCAGAACATCAAAAGCATCTTCACGTGAGCTTTGCAAACTGATATCCACTTAATGTGCGCATTAATAAACTTAGTTCAGTTTGCACCGTTCTTACAAAACTTATTTCAGTGAAGTATGTTACTTCTGCCTTTCTTCCAATCAAACACAAAAGAATTCAGAAGTTTTACGCATCTCACTTAAAACTAATGAATTCTATTCAGAAGCAGCAAGTACAGCTTTTTCCTTTGATAACTTGC